TACACACTGGACCTTTAATAAATACATTTGGTGTCTATAGTAGTAAATCCATTAAGAATAAACTGAACATTTTGTCTGGGGCTGCGTCCCATGTGAGGAAATAGAGGAAAACATATTCATGCTTCATGTATTAGGAAAAAGAAAATAATCTGCATTGGAGTAAGCTAATGCTTGAAGTTTACCGTTTTTCTGTGCCACAGTTGAAAACACTAATGTTTCCAAGTCAGAGCACACATCTGTCTGGTCTTGCTCCCTCCCTCTCAATCTATCGTAGCTCAAGATCTCTGGCTCAGACCTCGGGCAGACAGTCGGGCTGCCTCAACAGTCTGGACTGTTGCTCCAGGCTTTGGCACCACAGCCAGCACAGGGAGATGTTTGTCAACGCCATACAAATAGCAGTAGCGGCAGAAGCGAGGGACCCTTTCCAGTGGTCTTTTGTGTTCTCTGCTGGCCCACGTACACCTGTAGCCAAAAGGAACATAGCATAAAAAACAGGCATGTTGATGTCCTGCATGAGTTGCTGCTACAGCAATCTAGGTGGAGATAGATAAAGTAGGCGCAAGTGATGCACACGTGGAGAAAATAGGTTTGAGAGAGCACAAAGAAAAATCTGATCTATCACAAAGACCATCAATGTAACTTTTATCCAAAGTAGGTCAAGGATTTAGTCCACAATACAATTAGCACTTAATTGTAACTACTATTCTCTTAGCCAACGCTACTTTGTTTACTTAGAGCACATAATAAAACTTTCAACATTTATATTCTTGGGGAAATGGCTCTTATCTGGGGCATTAAATAATGCCTTTTTCTCCCCAAACAGGTCAAGATTAGACACGATTGCCTCTGTCATTGTTGCTGGTAGTCAGAAAACAGAAAAGGCTGCCTGAATAACACTGACCTGCATAGACAAAAATCCCTAAGTATTTAGAGTGCTTTTGGAAACGTGTTGAAGAGAAATTACTTTCTACTTTCTTCAATCCCTTATTGTTTTCTCTGTAAAAACATTTCAAATGTGTCCCAGACTACCCTATGAGTAGGCTGGGGCTTTTATAGGTAATTTTCACAAGATATTGTATTTCAAATTTCACTCAGACACAGCTTCATGTGACTAAACAACTAGTCATCACAAGCCATCGTTTTCCTCATATCAGTATCAAACAACACTGATCTAGCCAATCTAGCTATAGCATAGATACAGTTTTGACAGCACATGTAAAAAAATGACTATAGTATTGTCAGCGAAACTAATTTAATTTCTCCCATATGCCTGCCAGCTCAGATTTGAATGCCTATGGAAAGTCCCTTTATTGCTTCTCTACAACTTGTTTTTTGTAATTCTGTCTGAGTAAAGTTTCCTCTGTTCTTAGAAGACTGAGCAGTTACCTGTGATCAGGCTTAACAGAGAAGGACTGCCTCATGCTCCTGCTTGTGTGTGTGTGTGTGCTGTGTGTGGTTGTGAGCATGTATGTGTATGTCTGTTCATGCGTGTGTGCACGTGTGTGTTCAGGCGTGCACACATGCAGGGTATGACCAGTGGTTGGTTCCTCTGAAGTCTGCTAACTCTTTGATGTGGGCCGCCTTTTACTGTCAGCCTCAGCTCAGCGCCGACCACAACACTCACACACTTCCCCTTACCTGCCACTGATGATCTGGCTGACCCTCATTCTGCTTCAGTTCCACTCCATTTTCTATGGTGTGATTCCACGTGTCTGAGTGTGCACGTTTCTACAGGAATACAAAATGTGTAACTTTTCACTTTCCCCAATGTGTGTTGCCTAATGGTTCGCATGCATTTTGTAAGCCATTGCAGGACTTAAACTGAACTTTCACGCATGAAAAACCAGGTCTATGCAATACTGTAGATTTCCCAACAGTGCATCTCTGATATTTAAAGGTTTAACCTCAGTGCTCCACAGCAGAGCAAAACTGGGTTATTGAGACCATGCAGCCTACCATTTCCACTTGGATGCAAAAAAGTACAACTAAACTCACACTGACACACAGAGCTCTCTTGCCTCAGCTGTCTGTGCACAGGAAAACAAAAGAAAGCTCTTTCCTGCAAGACCCCCAGCCGCAACTTCGATTCTGGCTGCAGCGATTGTGCAAGCTGTCGCACAAGGCAGCTGGTCTACGAGCAGTGAAAGATCAGTGCCTGGAAAGAGCACATGTCACAAGCATTATTATGTTGCAACTACTCTACTCTCTCTTCTATTTAGTCTCTCACACAACCACCCAATTTTAACTTTCTATCTTCCACCCACTTTTTACTCTTTACTTCTTCTCTTTTACTTGGTAGCTAATGTCATGCAACACTTCCTGGTACTATATCTGTGCAATCTGCTGTAACTTCCCACGCTATGCTGCAACTTCTAGTTAGGCGAGTGGCAGTGGCCTGGTGACGCTTAATGCAAAGGGGAAAAAAACATTTCAGACAAGAGATGGATGAGTTTGATTTCAAATGTTTATTCTCAAAGCATTAAAAGTGAGTACAGTTCAAATGAATATTGCATTGTTTTGTCTGCATATTTTAAAGTAAAAACAAAAGTCCATGAACGTGTCACAGGTACAGACACAGCTCAAATCAGGATTTGCAAGCAAAGTCTCTGCTCATTCCAAGAACTTCCTGATAGCTGCACTGGGAAAGAAAAGTGAAGTCCATTTAGACATTTTCAGAAACCCTCTTCCAGACCAACATCTTCCTTGTTCCCCTCTGACCAGACTTAGTCCAGTCTCCGCACTTTCATATGTCCATTTCTTGCACAGTGTCCATCTCTTTGACCTTCTCTGCTCAGTTCCCCATTGATTTCTATCTAGGGCAGTAACTGGGTCAAAACTTGTCATCATTTCATGCATTATGCAGAACAGTCCAAAATCCTTCTCAGTGTCCATCAGGCTTTCCGTCCACTCCACAGTACACGTGATCCAGTCCACACTTGACCTCTGAACTTGAACCCTTCCTCAGAGTAATCCAGAACCAACGTGCTGACCCAGAATGCACCAGAAGATCGTGCTTCCAGCCACAGCCTCTTAATCCAGACATATGAGGCTGGCAGAAAGGCTCAACACCTCCAGCAGAGGCTCAGCTCTCTGACTTTCTTTTCATCATCTTCATCATCATCATGTGAAGCATTGTTGCAGGGGAATGTCACTTCAGCGCTCTGGGAGCGTGATGCTGGGCACCCAGTCATACACACTGCGGCTCTCCTCGCAGAACAGACTCAGCTTGTCTAGTGCGGGGTCTTTCCATGGGTTTGCACTGGGGCTCTGGAATAAAAAAAAACAATAAGACATTTAGAGTCAGAACACTGCCACAGAGAGATAAAGGCTATGCACACATGCAGAAACTAGGCGGAGTGTGCAGAAAAATTCAGACAGGGCAGTGATGCATGCATGATTCACTGGCTGAGTGGGTGCTCTCTCGGGAACGTACCGTGACAAGAATGCAGTGTGCGTCCTTGGGCTCGCCGGTCTCGTCTGAGCCCACGAGGTCTGCCAGGCGCTCGATGTCGTTGACACGCACCACGTTGATGTCGTTATCGAAGCAGAAAGCCTGGATGAGGGTGAAGTGGATCTGCAGAGCGATGTCACATTCGTACTCTTCATCAGTGGCGAGGACGCAGAATGCCACGCTGTCTGGGTCACTGTGGAACAGACAAGGAAGGTGGTCAGAACGTATTCTCTTATGCTTATGCTTAAATGTTTTTTTTTTTTTTTTTTTTAAAGAAGACAGTTAGTCAAACATTTCACGAATTGCAATACTTACACATTCATGACTTTAGCAGATTCATAAACTCCAACTGTCAGGTAGTCCTGCTTCTTAGCGGCGAGCAGCAGCTCTTCCAGGGCTGCGCCTGCACTTTGCACCCTTGACAAAGAAAAACACACAACATCAGACACTATAGCACTAATGACAAACCGGTATAAAGCATTAACCCGACGGCTTGAATAATGTTGAATCCGTGCGTAAAATATTTACCTGTCTGTGTTTTCCATTGCGTTCTCTTGTCCGCGGATCTCTTCCAGAGTCATAGTTATAATCCAAGCGCGATCGGGATTTTGAAGTGAAGCGTAAAGGCTGTGTAGTTCTCTGTATAGGCTGTGTAGTTCTCTGTATAGTCTCTTGCGTTATTCTGAGCTCGGAACAGACTGTGGGTGCATTTATAGCAGGCACGCGTAGTTTCTCGGCAAGGGGCGGTCTTTTCCGCTCCTGCCTCCTACCATTGGCTTAGAGCAGCCTTTGCTGAGAAAAAAAAAGTCCCCGGGGCACGGAGCATGATGATAACCCCACGTGGGGCAAGATTACAACCTTTCAAGAAATCCCCCCCCCCATCCACCCACCACCAATTCCCCTTACCTTGTAAACATCCAACATCACCACAGTGAGCAAAAACTAAAAGTCCTGTTTGCGATGGACCCTCGGGTGACTGCAAACAGCACAGCTGACACAACAAAGACTCACCCACTGTGGCTCTTCAACCTGAATATCACAGTACACAGTACAATGATATTCTGGCACGTATGCTGACATGTATATGACCTTATAATGCATACATATAAATCATGTATATCATCATGTATAAACAAAAAGAGCGATGAAAAACAATTTTGAGCATCCCAATGTATTTATTTATTTTAAAATGAAATGATTGTTTTGCAGGTGGAGAGCCACGGTTTGTACATCGTGTTATTAACCACGCCATTACTTAACACCGTGCCAACTGTGTTTTTGTTATGCGCCAACGGATGTTTTCCCATGACAGTTACAAAACCAGTGGGCACAGGCAGACCAACACACCTCAGACAGGTGATGGTTATCGAATGGGTTAAAGGAAAACTGCACAACATTTTGCTGCAGTGGAACCAGTAATGATGATTCCATTATAAACTCTGGAACAATCCTCTAAGAACTGGACTTCCCCAAGGCGTGGGGAATCACTGGCGCGTTATATTTAGCCCATCCAAACTTTCCCTGCCGGTCTAGTCTCGCCTTGCCCTTAATGAGCAGCTCGTTGGCGGTACACCTGCGCGCGCGTGCATCCTATCAACCTGTTACTCAACGCGCTGCTGTGTTTACGGTCTGCCCGGTAGTTACAGAACTGTGCCTCAAGCGAGCTCTGCAAGCCTGTCCTGACCCAAATAGGGGGGAGATTTCTAGGTGGTGTTTTGGAAAGGGGGTGACCAAAACAGCTTGTGGCCGGCACACGCCAGTTTTTGTTCACCCTTTGAAAAGGAAGCTTAATTGCCGGTCTGAGTCGACGCGTGTCGTTTCTCCGCGCGGAGAGCAAAAAAGGGCCACTTTGTGTCACAACAATACTCACGTCCTCCACCTGCCCCCCGGGTCCTTTCATGGGGGACTGAGGGGGTGTGTGACTGTGTGTATGTGCGCCCCTCGCCTCGTTAATTACCCCACTCCATTCAGTGGCCCCTGCGGCAGATGCCCGACAGATGCGCGTGCCCCCCTCCCCCGCAAACGCCACGCGCCGGCCAGTGGTGTTTTCAGGCCTGTTTATCTTATCACCTGGACTGCGTCTGTTTACATTCAACATCATTCGCCTTTCAGACAGATGCCGAATGCTGTGTTTGCACACCAGTTGGCTGGTCTTGACCAAACTTAAAAATGGCATGTACTATAATCTAGCAAGCAATAATTTGATTCATTGGTTAATTATTTCATTAATTTAACTGATTCGTTCCAATTCAAATAATTATCGGAAATAATGACGAAGAAAATGTGCACCCCTGGCTTTAATACCACACAATAGGGTTAGAAGTACCACAAAGTAATAACAAGAATGTTGCCTACACTCTGTTGAAGGTTGTTTTCTTGTTAACTGATGAGTCAAATAAAAAAATCACTTCGACATTTATTTTAATGCGATTGCCGGCATGATAAGTGGATGACCTTTAACCTAATCTACACCATCTACGGAGCTGCTGAACGCCAACTCGTCCTGCACAGAGGAGCGCTGTGTCAGAAATCTGAGCTGACAGCGCCATCTGCTGGTCATTCAGCAAGCATGACTTTTCCTCTGCTACAAATGTTAAATAAGCTCATGACTCATGACTCCCAACAACATTACACTCTGTGAGTCACCGACCAGTCCCTATGTGTTGTTATTCCCCGACAGCTGATCACTTCAGAAATATATTTTTTTGCAGTCATGGAGCAGGAATGTGGACAAGGGAATACAAAGACATAAAGAAATGTGTGTGTTAAAAAGGCAACACATCTACAATGTATAGAACTTAAAGTATACATGAATTGAAATGCCTGTCCTCCCCAGAACATCCTCAAAATGCTCTTGTATTATCCATACTGGTAAATTTACATAATAATGTACATATATAGATCTAAATGCTGTTCAGATAAACATTACATACACCTTTTAGCATCTGGAAGTTTGTATCTTGGAAGTCTTGGCTTTGACAGCTCTGTATGCAGTAAACAGCTTTGGTAAGAGAATAGGGGAAATCCCAGGCTGGCTGAGAAAATCCCACTGAAGGATGAATTAGAGCATGAACTTGAGCAAAACACCTAACTCTCTAAAACAGTCGTGGCCAAAAGCTGTGGAAAAGTCCCTGACTGTGGTTGAACTGACCTTGTCTGTGAAAATATCACCAAAATGGCTTTGTAGGACCATTAAAGACCACGAATATTATGAAAACAGAGCATTTTATACAAACCTCTATAGCTGTTTAGAGTTAACTTCTCTTGTCTAGTCCAGTGCATCTCTTTCGTAATGTTTAATTTCAAAGTAGGCCATGTGTGGTCAAAAGCCTCCTCAAGTTGAAAGACTGAGCATACGGCTATTCTATTCCTTCATCAATAACACTGATCAAGAACAACTGACTCATTCTGATTTATAAAAAGTTTATTATTATAGGAGGTCCAGACATGTCTTATACATACAGAGTTCAAATGTACATAAGAGCTACAATCATTTAAGCATATTTACATTCCCTTCTTGGACTACGTCAAATGTCAGTGCATTTGTTCAACATGATCAACATTTAAAATCTCACTGACTGTCGATTATAACAAAAAGCAGTTCCAATACCATTTAGATTCCATTTATTACTAACAGTAACATAATAAAATACACAAAAAATATGCCTCACTGACAAAACAGGTCATTACATTTTTGAGTATATTTTTACTGCAACACGGTTTACTGAGCAAATATATCAAACCCCGTATTCTGTGCACATATGTGCTAAAGTATTTCAGACTGTCCCGAGGAAATGAAAAAGAGGAATTTGCAGGGGTAGACTTGGGTTGGCTAACAATGACAAAGTCAAGGGTGTCTTGTTCTATATTTAGCAGACATTTTTTCTTGCTTTACTGTACAACGTAAAAACAAAGCATTCCAAAATTAAAAAGGAGCATGAATACCCTTGTTACAAGGGAAATACTACCAAACTTTACAAGTCTTCTAAATGGCCAAATGTCCTGCAATGGCTTAAGCATTTGTGTCAACCACTTTGATCAAGCTTTATGGGAAACAAGCAGCCTATCTTTTACAATGCAATGGATGCTTCTGGCTAGTCTGCTGAAGACTACTTCTTTTCACAATAATTTACTATGGGAGAGTCATTGATGAGGAGCTAACGTGAACCTCCAGATCTGCTGGAGGTGATCAGACAGACTAGAGTCAGACGAAGCTCTCCCTAGAATTTGGCGATAAATAATAATTGCATCATGTAATACTTACCTTGAAGTAATCTACTGCTGGTTCATAATAATTTTTACTGCGTCGGTGCCCACAAACGTACAAATTTTGGTCGTTAACACCACTTTGTACAATAAGATGAGAGCCCTCAGTGCTACCGAAGTAGAGTGTGGCCTCCAGCAACACAGGCGTGTATATTATCACCGCAATGTCCCAATCTTTTGGCAGTTTACACTGCTGAAATATGGAAATTGCTCTCCAGTTTTTTTTTGCCCACTGGAACAAGGAAATCTGAACAAAGTGCAATAAAGTAACAGTAGTACATCAGATGGCCGTTAGAGGTGAAAGAAGGTACAGACAGATTGATCATATATCTTAATAATTACTGATATTTTCCCTCCTTCCTTGTTTAACTTACCTACCTAAAACATTGGGAATATGGCTCCCTCTGCTGATCATATTGTTCAACACCTCCCTACTACATTTCATCTGAGCGGTGCTGTTGTAATATGACAGACGGGGGGTTCTGGTCTATCCAGTTATCCTTGGATCCTGTGACCTCATACGCCACTGCAGCATCAATGGACCCTTCCTGTAAGGCCGCTACTCCGCCAGCCGGCCCCGGCGTCATCTCTGTAGCCTGAGTGGGACTGGGGAAGTCTGCAGAGGAGTTGCTATTCACTCCTGTTTCTGAATCAGGCTGCTCCACCCTCTGGTAGTCAGGGGTGTGATTCTTCTGACCGCCGGCAAAGATGGCTTTAACGTTCTCCACCTCCGCTTGGTGCACTAAGAGGATCTCCGTATCTTTAGGCTCAAGGTAGGAGATGGCATCAGAGCTTCCTGGTGGCACTGAGCGCAAGGCCCGGGAGATGCCTGCAATAATGAACAAGAAATGGTCTATTGAAGTGATGTGGTGCAGTACAGTGCGAGTACAAACTGAACAGACATGCTATCTTGATGAAGACTCCAACATATGTGTATCAAAAAGAATTTGCAAAAAAGGTTGAAATATAACAAAGGACAGACGTTTTTCATTTTGAGGTAACTTACTCGAAGAGGGTGTGTAGAGCTCCTTCTCTTCTGCGTTTCGGCCAAATGGATTGACTGACGGGAAGATGATGAGACAGAAAGAGAGCAGGAACACCTAGAGGGCAAAGCCAAGGAGAGAGTGAGGAAAACAATACTGCAGCATGACAAAGAACTTGACACTTTATGAGAAATATAATAAGGATGTAAAAAAGAAGTTAATATATTCAACAAATTTACCATAACACATGTGCTGGTTGTGCTGGCCTTCATGGTCGACATCTTCACCATTGCCTGAAGCTTCCTCAGTTGCTCTATCAAGGAACTAAGAACCAAGAAGAGATATTTACTGGAACAGATGTCAACGGATTGAGAAGCATTTTCTACATACGTGCTATTACATATGAAAGCAGAGGCAGCTCAGAGTTCTTACATGTTCTGTTTATGAAGCATTTGGACTTTCTTCTGTAGTTCCAGGTTGTGTGCGGTACAGATGGCAACCCTGTGGTAGACATTGAATCAGTAATTAGTATATTTATCCACATTAACTTAAGAGTAATTGATCAACCATTAAAACTCATAATATAGACATACAATAAATCACTGCTGGTATAACTAGTGACAGGAAAATTGTCGCTCAATTCTTCTAAACGTTACTCCAGCAGTTAGTGTTCTCGACAGAGTGGCCACAACTCCTCATATATACATAGCCGTCTATTGGCTGAGATCATTTATATCTCAATTGTAAACATTTTGGCCTCTTCATCTCACCTGTTTTCCAGTCCATCAACATACACCTTCTTCTTCTTGCGGCTCTCCTGAGCAGATTGCTTGTTGCGGATCTTCCTCCTGACCCTCTTCAAGGTCCTCTCTTCTGCCTGTTACACAGAGGAGGCTTTCACCAGAATGTTGACATGACAGACAACGATGTGTATATAACAGCCTTCAGCAGCTGTGCCGCAGAAAGACCAAACACAAAATCAATTTGAAGGCCAATCAAGCAAAAATTATAATATTACATAATGAAAATGAAAAACTATTATACAGAGATACAAAAATAAAAAAACTACGCATACATTTGCTACAAAATGAACGGCAATAAATCTGATTCCTCTGCAGCATGTTGGCTGATCGTGCTCATTATTATACAAACATTTACAACATTTGGCAGATGTTCTTATCCAGAGCAGCTTACAATGCTGCACAGCATCACCGCAAGACAATCGACTCAAGTAAATAAACACATTTTCAGCATCAATTACCTTTGTGAGAGGCATGTGTGTGGGAATAGTTGCTCCCTCTTTCGTCAAAAGCCGCTTCTCCTCCTCAGTGAGCACAATCTCTTTAAACTGAAACTGGAGGGAGAAAAGACCCATTACATTTCTGGTTATTCAGTGATAAGCATAAGATGGTACCACAGTTGTAGCACGCAACATGCAAAGAAACAGCTTGCAATTAATGTCACAAAATGTAAATGAGATATACCAAACTGAAACATTCAGTTTTCTTCAAACAAACTTGTTGGTTTGACCAAAACAAAAGTGGGAAAAACTGACCTGGTCTGTTTTGTTGGGTTCCTGTGTTGAGTCCTCTATGGACAAAGTGCAGGGCAGCTCACTGGTGTCGTCCTCCTCCATGTCCTCACTCACCAAGTCGTCTGACACAAGATAAACACATTTGAAATTAACTTAACCTGCTAAGTGCCTCCATTTGATTATGTATGCAGCATCCCTCCCACATAATGTCCAGTACTTCCCCGTGTTTTGAAGGGATTTAAGTGGATGTCAAGGGGTTGAGTGGATAACATAAGTACATAAGGCTATAGACTCACAAATGACATGATGATGTAGTTCTTGAACTACACATACCCAAATCAATGAAGACATCTGTATCTGGCTTCTCTGCCCTCACACTCTGTAAGATATCCATGTCCCTGCCTCCACTTTGCAGCAGGGAGTAGCTGTGATCTGCATGGACTGTTAAGGCCTCCAGGCTCTCTGCCTGCAAGTCTCCAGTGGCCAGGGCAGGGTCTGTGTGCTCCGGGCTGGGCTGGGAGTAGCTGGGACTGGGCACAACGTCACTATCGCTGCACTGGGGACTCGGGCATCCCAGATGGTTGTTGTTTCCAACTCCAGTGCTGCTGTCATCAGAAATGCCGCTGTCGCTGCCCAAGGGAGAATGAGAAGGACAGATGGCCTCCATCTTGTCCTCTCCCTCTAACAAGCTGGAGAGAAATTCTTCAGTATCCATACCTGTCAGCATCTAGGGGAAAAACACACTGTGTTACTTCCAAAAAGGCACACACAGTGGTGAGTATTTAGGCTTGTGCTTTTAGCTACTATATGGTGTCCAAACTTCCAAAGTCATATAACCATGTGAACAAATGAGGGTGTCGTGGAACCCCAGTTCAAGCTCTCAAGCTTTAACACCAAGATTACATAAAGTTTGAAAATACACAGTAGTAGTCATCCAAAAATCCAGAGGATCAATATGGTTAAAAATATTACATCTTGTTCAGACAGCCAGGATTCGATGAGCCCGTTCTCATCAGGAAAGAGAGGCTCAGCAGACCAGTCCTCTCCACTGTGGAACAGCAGCCCCAACAGGTCTGTTCCATCCATGTCTGGAAGGTCCTCAGTGACTGACATCTGTAGCAACACAGCAGCACACAGACCTCAGCATTTACATTGAGTTTATTATTTGTTAACAAAGGCATCTATGTTCATATAATATTAGTACGATGATAGAATCAGGTTTATTGCCAGGAGGGTTTCACATAAAAGCAATTTTCCTGAGGGTTTTAATGCATAACAATGAACGTAGTAGATGGAAAAAGAAAGTAGTGCAAGTCAAGAGGCATAATAATCAGAAAACTGACAATAAAATATTAAAAAATATTATAGAAAATACATACAACATGATTGATATTTAAATAAAAGAGCTGTATAGTTTTGTGGTGGAATGTGCAAGATTTTTAGCAGGCAATGTGCAAATGTTTACAGTATTAAGCATAACGCATATATATGTGCAAAATAGTAATGCAAGAGAAGTGCATTAATGTAACACACTGCCATTGAGTCCGGTGGCGTAGACTTCACGTCAATGTATACACAACTAGCCATTGTCCAGGATGTATGAATTTTGTGATTTAGATTTAAATTAATGTGATGTTCCATTAGGCTGCATTACAAATGAATACATTTAAAGTATTCAGTCAAATGTTGTCATAGTTGAATTGTCTTTTGTGATTATCACCCTGTTTGTGATGGTACAGTGAAAATTGTGTCACGGTACAAAAGAAGTTTATGCACTTTAACCTCCATGTGGAGGCTGTTATGACAGTAAAGAGTTTATTGACCTCAGCAGCCACAGACAGATCATTAGTCCCCGTTAATGTTAACACGTCTACTAACTTGCCATGTAAACAGCCTGCTATTGCATCACTGCCACGCTCCCACAATGACCTCATCTTATGTTGAGCCCCGCCCCCCCATATGGGCTTTGTCACGAGATCTGAATACAATATCAAGTGTCAAAACAAATAACGTGTTCAGCCTTTAGTTCATTCCGGAAAAGGGCAATTTATATGATGCAATACGTGCTCAAGTACAAAGAAAACATATGAATGCAGTCCGGATACAGGGTTCCTTTGTTGTCTTGCAAAATAATAATAATAATAAGTATTTTTTTTTCTGCAGCATAGCCATATAACTCACAAACGACTCAGTTAACGCAGCAGTGAACACATACAAGCAATATGAATTATTAGACTTTAGATTTTAAAGCCAGAAAAAATGTACTGCATCGACTCCTATGGCAGAAGAAAGACATGTCTTAGGCCAAACTCGAGGAGCCACCCAGCTCGTTAATGTTAGCTGTTTAATCCTGTCATGATCTTTAATGCCAAGAGGGCGTAGTTTCTCGTGGCATTACACGTGCTTAAAAACATTAAACACAGTTAAAATGTATATTTTGTTTTCTTACCGCTCGACGACAGGAGACAAAATACCATTCGAGTGAGAGCGTCCGGGTGTCTTGTGGGTTTTTTTCTACTCAGCGTTTCTTCGCTGCTACAGTCACAGCGCTTCCTCCTGAAACTACCTTCCAACAAGGCAAAAAATGCGTCATCACGTGAAGGCGGATATGAGTACGTGGTCTTCTTGAGTGCTTCTGGGAAGTGTAGTGCAGTACCCCACCATGTACTGTATTCGTGGTTGTTCTGCTTTCTGCATTCTGCAAGTGGCCGTATATATTTCTTTCTTGCATTTTCGCAAATATGTAAAAAAAAGAAAAGAGAAAAGAAACATAATAAAATGAGTTTTCCTGAAGTGTATTCTATAAGACAAAAGAATAATGTAACTTTAGAAAAGAAAATGGAAACCAAGATTCTTAGAATCTAAAATGTGTCCTCTGCTCAGTGTATTTTTAAAGAAAACTTTTAACTTGCACAGCTGGAAGGCAGCACTTGCACTGTATTGCTCCCTTTTCTGCTTTAAAGAGAAATTAATGGTGAAATTTCCACCCAGTGAAAGCATGTTTTTCACTAGAGTCCATGATAATGAATTCATGAGATTAGCTATGGTTTCACTGGAGACTGAGAGTGGTGCTATGAGACTTGTGAAGTGCTGTAATGTGTGCACACTGCACATGTGCATGGTATCATTCTTTATTTCAAAATGTATTTTAAAATTGTAATCTTGCTAATGATCCCCATTTTTACTAAATGAAACTGTAATCGGATTACATTATTTCTTCTCTAACAGATACATTTTATTTGTATCCTGATTATGTACTCAGTTACATGTAATCTGTTACTTCCCAATGTTACGTACACACAATATTTACACACGCAAACGCAAAAGCATCACAAGCTTTAAAAATATTTCATAAAAAAAGACAGATGCATTTCAATTTTAAATTTATTTTAATCAACACATGAGCAATAACATGGCATCAGATAATTTAAAAAACCTAATTACTGAAATTCATACAGAAATTGCCTGAGTAGTAACCGAAAATTGATTTTGCCACATGAAGAACTAAAAACTTTGGTGGTTGGTATGTTGGTATTTGTAGCTTAATGACATTTATTGGCTTTTTCAGGCCACAAGGAAAACAGAGTGAGGTCATTCAGGTCAATCAGTCTAACATCTCATGGAGATACATCACATAAGAAGGTAGGATGTGCAATCTCTATTCATATCATCATAAACTTTATAGGAGTGTAATAAAAACCAGTCTGTCTGATTTCATAACATGATAGAAAACTAAGGCATCGAAGAAAAGTGCAATTAAACATTAAATACACCACATTTCATGTTTCACCACATTATCACCTCAGCATAATGTTGTGGATTTCTAACTTGTTTCCTTAATATTTATGCTACATTGACTTCTCAAAGGTTTTATTGGGTTTATCCAGCAAAACTGAGCATAGGATGGTTAAGGGCTATAAATGATCCGGTCTGCATGATCCAAATGAAAAGCTGTGTTTGACATCTAACCATCATAATGTCAGTTAAATAAATTATATTTAACAACATTTCCCTAATCTCATGAGGATTACAGGTACCTGTCCCTGTCAAAAAAGGAGACAATAGTGATTCACTGGCAGCATTCTCACAGAGACTAATTTTACTTACTAGAAGAAAGTTACTAAAGTAAGAAATCCCAGATTTCAGGAGCTGAGTGGGGTTATATGCCATGATTTCAATTTAAACTGCTGGACTGTAAAGCACTTTTTTATTTATAATGAAATCCATGCAATCTTATCCCAGACTACAAAGTCTTTCCAGCATTTTGTCACAGAATCACACAGAGTTTAGATGTATGCCTCAAACTACGGTACACTTTTAGTCGTTCCTTTTTACTCGTTGGTGTTGGTCCGACTACCTTTGTGACGGCGGGCACGCTCTCGACAGCCCGTTTCTTGTGAGCACGGTGTAGCAGGATCCGATAGACCCCTGTGATTGAGCTCCTGCAGTCTTTCCCCTGGTTGTTGAGGATGTGTTCTGAGGTGATCCCTAGTGTCTCCAGTGCTGCCTTTACCTCCATCTCTTCCTCCCCGAGTTCAGATGGTTCACTCTCTGCTAGGTAGGATGGGTCTAGTTTAAAGGGCTCCATTGCGCGAGGGAAGTCCACAGGGAGTAGCCACTCACATCCGATCATCTGCTCCACTGTGCAGCGGTCAGATGGTATAGGTTGGAGGATTCCCCTGATCAGCCTCTGGCATGCCTCTGGCACCCACGAGGGCAGGATGTAGGCTCCCTCCAAGATGCATCGCTTCAGTTTGGCCACAGTGTCTGCCCTGAACGGCATCGTGCCTGTCACCATAAAGAACAGCATCACCCCCAGGGCCCAGATGTCTACAAAGATGCCAACATAATGCTCATCCCGAAAGAGCTCAGGAGCGGCGTAGGGCGGAGAGCCGCAGAATGTGTTGAGTGTCTCACTACGGCGACTCAGCGTGCTAAAACCAAAGTCCCCGACCTTGACGCAAGAGCTGCTGGTGTAGAACACATTTTCTGCCTTCAGATCACGGTGGATAATGTTGTTTTCATGCTGTATGAGAAAAAGGGGAAAACTGTTTATTGTAATGTAATGTAATGCCGCATACTTTCACATTAATTCACTGTTTAAAGTGGAAAACTTCAAGCATCTAGTGCACACACACTGAGAATTGACTTTTCAGTGAAGTAGCATCTGAAGTAGTATCTAGTGACTAGAAATTAAACTTGCATTTTTATAGATTCTGAATTTTTCAATGAGGGAGAAGTAGGAGAGATATATAGATTAGATAGATTTAAGCATTCTTAACCATGTAATCAATATTTTAGTGGATAAAAACATATCAGACACAAATCATTATTACAAGCAGAGTATTTTTATGTGTCTTAAAACACATTACAATTCTACTTTTCCAGTAAAGCTGCTACATGGACATATGTATAAACATACTTCTCCTAACCCACAACAGCTTTTTTTATACTATCATTACCTACCATCACTACCCATCACCTAAATATTCATATCATATCATTACACTTAGATCTTGTACTCCTTACAGCTGGTTTGTTATAATGTTGTTGAGATGGAAGTCTCAGTTTACTCTTTTATCTTTTTTGATAAAAAAATGAATGCCTAAAAAACACATGTGGGGAGTAATTAGCTTCATATGTGATCCAGAAAACCTGTAGTAGTAGTAGTAGAAATAGTCTGCACTGACAGAAATTGTCATATGAGATTAATTAGATTAGAAGATCAGATGAAATTTTAATGACCCCCGAGGTTATACCAGGTCATTGAAGCAGACAGAGAACAGGCAATACTATAGATGAAAATAAATTTCTTTACTAACATACAGTATAGTAGACAGTATAGGTTGTCATCTTAATGGTCAATGTCACTGTTATTTGACAATTAAGACTGTAATTAAATCTTTTATAGGTTACACTCAGATTGAGATTTTGTTTTCGATTAATTAAACAACTTGAATATAAATGTATATGTACTGACCATGTGTCTAACAGCAGAGAGGATCTGAGCAAAGACGATTTTGCTTTCAGTGTCAGAAAGCTTCCCTTCTGTAGTAATCTTGGTGTAGAGCTCCCCTCCCCCTGCGTACTCCATCACCAGGTGTAACCGTGACAATGTCTCCACCACCTAAAGAAGAAAGTACACAGTGGCTGAATATTGAGAAAGCCCCTTGAGATCAGATGTATCTCATATATAAGTCAATATGAGAGTGTGTAGGAGTCAAACCTCATAGAGGCGTATGATGTTGGGATGGTGTAGTTTCTCCATGCTGGACATCTCTCTGGACAGCAGCCTCTGGGTCTTCTGATCCAGCTTGGTTTTGTCTAGGATCTTTATGGCCACCTTGTCTGGTGATGCCAAGGAAGAAGATTAAGGTCAATGATCACTAACAAATTATAAATTTATACAGAGGAGTACAGATCATTTAAAAACATGCAGAGAAATACTTCAAAGCGACATTTAATTTCAACAGAGACTTGATAGAGAAAATAAAAGTGCTCCTATCATCATTAAAATAACTTAGCTTTTCTGATAACTGAAGCATTCAATGTATTATATAAATTGAAGATCAAAATGTGAGCCTGGTTTCGTCTAGCACACACAGAATTGCCCCTGAAGTGACCAAGCCGGATGCTCAGCTCTAGATAATTTGATGGAGGATAAGCTGCCATCAGAAACCAATTTTCTTGATTATGTTCTCCCAGGGGGTCAATTCTCACTTTTAGCCTTATCTTAGAAGGAAATTTGCTTTTGTAAATGAAGGAAAAATTGCTCTTTTTCTGTCATACTGCAGTGACTTCAAGTGTGAGCAGATATGGAGGGTCAAGTAAGGGTGGATAGAGATGAGTTAGCTATATTGTCCTGGAATCAAATTTAACTTACCACCTTTGAAAATGTGTTGAGAGGAGATACAGTGCGCATTTAAAAAGGTCCACAATTTTACAGCCAGTAAAGATCAAAATACTTCACATATATCAAATTCAAACAACTGATATCTTTACTGTATTCTGTTAAATGATTCATAAAGAGAAGTAAAATAGACCTCAGGTAACTGAATACAGAAAAGTTCTTAAGTGGCAAAATGGTGTTGAGATATCTAATTGTGCGTCAGTATACATTATTCAGGCATGGTATTAGGCTCCCTTTCAGCTGTGCCATATCTTTCAATAGGAGCATTGAAAATGCATCGCAGCTCATGTTGTTTTTGGAGGACTAAATGATACCACTTAAACGCACACACGCACACACACATAGCATGGCATAGATCGGAATACAGTAAAGTACATATACCTCTACAAACATAGAGCGCGCACACACAGAGGTACACACTCATTCCCTTCCCTCTCTTTAGCCTTTGATGAGGCATGCAGCAATTTTAGCCGTCGCTAAGGAAACTGGAGATCTCTAATCAATCCATCTGTTCAAGGGCAGCAGACAGTCTGTCTCTTTGTCGCTGAATCAGCCCCCTGGCCAGGCACACATCGCCTTATTAGTGAATTGCTACATAAGAACACACTTGTTAGTGTTGCAGCCCATTGATGGAAACAGCTCATCAGCCAAATTATCACTTAAATGTAATTAAAAAAGCCAGAGCTGAAAGCAAAGGGGAGCTTACCTAAGATTTTTATATTTAAAGATGGATGTGTTTAGACTTTTATTGATTGGCTATCCAGTCAAACTGTCAACCTTCTATCACTACATAATAGTCAGTATGATTGCTGCTCCCCAATGGATGTTTTTCTTCACTTGAGTGCAGGGGTTTTTAACAGTTGCATTATACTGATGTCTTGTAGTTTCTTACCTTTGGTGAGGGCATGAATTCCCAGCTTGACATGGGAGAAATTCCCACAGCCAATCTCTCCTCGAATTTTGTAGAAGCCGATTCTTCTGCCCACAGTTAGCTCACGGACCACCCTGTGACCAATACACATTACAGAATACTTAACGCTAAATATTCTTTCAAATATACTACAGTGGAGCCACATAATAAGTAGTTTACCTCCTGGTGTTTCAAAAAGTAAATAAAAATCTTGATAAAAAAAAAAAGGTGATTACTGCTTCATCTCTTGACCCCTACCTTTCATCCTGGCACATATCCAGGTTCAGTCTTTCCAGTGGAGTGAGGCGGCGAATGGTGGCTCCCTCATCGTCTGTGTTGATGTCTGAGCTGTCCTGGCGGCTCCAGCGGGTGTACCTCTGGCCACCAGCGACCACAGCTGTGCCTCCAATTGAGCCTCTGACAGAGTCTCCATTAGAGTCCCCAGTCTCAGCCCCAGACACTGAGATGCTTCCAGCGGTGCCTGCTGCCCCCGACCCCCTGGAGCCTGCTGTCCCGGCCCCAGCTTCAGCTCCTTCTGGGCTGCTCTCAGATGGGCAGACAGCAGTCATCCTGCACCCGGGGTGACGTGAGCTTAGCTCATGGCTGGAAGAGGTGGGGGGCTGGATGCACAATAAGAAAAAAATAAGAAAAATAAAAATGAATCCTTGCTACACTCTTTGGATGGGTTATGTCTTTAAGGCATTATTTAAAAAGTTTTTCTCAGATGCACAATGACTGGTGCTCCTACATTAAGTGAGTGTCAGTGTCTTTTAGAATCAACCCCTTCAAAATAAAAATAAAAAGGTATGAGAAGAAGGAATAAAACTGCTTAAGATATATATTCGATTAACAATACTTGGATTTGCAACACATGCTCTTCATTGTGAGGCTGTTATAAGCTATTGATTAATTGATATTGAAGAATTAGCCCCCATTTTTACAATGTGCACACAGTTTCTCTAGCAAACCTCACATACAGAGCACACATAATTCACGTGTCAAATAAAAATGCAGTTAAATAGCTAGTAACACATTCATTACGCATTGTTATACTATCTCAGAGAGGAAATTCATACGGACATAAACCTTGACTTACCTTCAGACATGTGAATCATTTAGAAGGTAAATTCTTTCAGTGTCCTTGCCCAAATCACATAGCTATTTAGCTATTTAGAGTCAATAAACAAATGTTATGAATGCGTGTTTTCCTGTATTTCAACAAAATAGGACAGAACCTCCAGTCCGTGGACCCAAGCACATGCATCCAAAATTGCAAAAATTTGCTGCAGCTGCAAACTGTCCTTGCCACAATGGTTTATCAGAGACAGTTTGTCATCTGACACTTGATGTAGTTGTAGTCTTGCATCTGAAGAATTTCCAGTGGTTTAAACCTTAGTTTTCCTTATTTGTATCTGTCGAAGAAAAGGTGAAGAAGATCAGATCGCCCATGTGTCATCGGATTCATGCTCACTGTTGTCTCTTGCTGAAGAGGTCTGCGGAGCTTTAATGGGCTCTTTTGAGTCTCCAGGGTATAAATAGGCCACAGGTTGAGGAGGAGGGGGAAGAGGAGCTGGACGGGGGGGTTGGAGGAAAGAGGTTGAACAGATGATAGTGTCAGGGTACAGCCAACCTAGTGAGCCTAGTGAGAAAACCTAGAATGAAAGCACAAGAGAGATACAAAAATAAATGTTATTTATGTTTAATTTTTAGACCTCCCTCTCTTTTTTATTGTCTAATTCATGTGTTTTCTTTCCATGTTTTTTTTATCTACTTGTAGCTATGTCACTATATTAGACATTTTGGCAATTTTTTTTTATGAGTCAAGCATCTGTGCAAAACCATTGTATACATGTGATTCCACCCTCCATGGGAAAGAGTTTGTGTGCACATGTCAGCACAAGTGTGCCTGGTCAGTATCTGTTTGAGTGTCCGTTGATCTGTATTGTAATCCTTACTTAATTTAGTGCGTGAGTCCTGCTCCAAGGGCGAATGCAGGCTGGTTGCCATGAGAGCGAAAATAAACAAATCAAAGATCCTCATCAGTTTCTACCACCAAGAAGATACTAACAAATAGAGCTGCTGCAATTAGTTGATGAATTTATTACTTGTCATCCATGAAATTAATTGCAAACTTTTTTGATAGTTGATTAATCAGAATTGTTTTTATGAATAAAAGGCCAAATTCTCCGATTTCAGCTTCTCAAATGTAAAAATATTTCCTTTAGTCCTCTATGACAGTAAACTGAATATCTTTGGGCTGTGGACAAAACAAGACATTTGAAGATGCCATCTTGGGATTTGGGAAACAGTGATCAACACTTTGTATCATTTTCTGACATTTTATGGACCAAACATCTGATCAATAATCAAGAAAATGACAAACATGACAAAAATAATCATTAGTTGCAGTCCTGCTTATAACCTGACTAACCTATTTCATTTCTGATAGAGTGATGACTGTCACTCCCTTGTGTGTGTGTGTGTGTGTGTGTGTGTGTGTGTGTGGGTGGATTAGGTGATAATTGCATGCTGTTAAGAAAACAAAGCTCTAACAATGTCCCATGAGTGGTAAAAGATGAATCTGAGGTTAAGGTGAAGGTGATATTGCATAATAACATACCACTATGTGACAAATCAGCCAAATAAAATAATGGTGTTTAATTTACTCAAAACATCTTTGCTGAGGATGTTTTAAAATTGCATTATAAATTTAAAATAAAATAAAAGTTAATTGTTCAACTTTCAACCAGACACCTGAACTGAATTATTATTATTATCTATTAAAAACATGTAAATCAACAACATCATTGCACAGGATGTTCATATTCCTCCATCATGATGAACATGGCTGCCACAGTTTTTCGATTCAGTTGCACATTTCTGGTGCCGTAAACTCACTACAACACTGGTCTCCAGCATATACACTAATTACTCCTGTTTCCTTTAGTAGTTGTTGTTGCTTTTTCATAAAAACTACAACACTAAACTGTATTATATATATATATATATGTTATAATAAATGAATGGGCCTGGTTCTGAGTGTGACTGACATGGCTGATTTGAGTTTTTTCATGGGATATATTGACGATAAAAAAAAAATAACAATAATGCCATATCCTTTAAAGTCGCAAACAGAAATTATTTCCATATTTACCATAAACTGTAATGATTAAGTTTGTGATTAACTTAAATCTCAATGGTGATGTTCTGATGTTATTTTAAAAAAAACAATATGGATATCAGTTATAGCTGCTGTGAGAAACAGTATCACACACAATTATGCAGCAAAGAGCTACAAAATGTAATTAAACAATCTACTCCAACGGCGTGTCCAGTGCTGTACAGACCATAAATTGAGTTAGGGTGTTCAGAAGAAGACGCTGTCATGATGACATAACATTGTGTGTGTAAGGCAGGAGTAGAAATGGTTAACTTAGCGTAACATGGTGCTTTGGAAGGGGTTCTCTCATCCGTCTCTATATTAAGATGAATGAATCTATGTTAAACCCTCGCTAGCAAATCAAAGCAATTCTCTTTTGTGAGGCCTACAGTCTCCCTGCCTTCAAACACCTTCCTGCCATGGTCCATGAATATCTAAGCATTGATCTCAGGCAGCCTAAAAGGGCTTGCTAAGAGAGGACAGGCATCCACTTTACAGCACAAAGCAACAAGCTCTGAATACCAGTCTTTTATGTATGTAAATAAAAAGACTAGACGACAACCATGCATGAGATAAACACATCAATGGTGAGAGGGGAGTAATAAAAGTTTTGGGCCAAAATCACCATCAGGAAATTGTATTTTTAAATTGTAGATGAATATTTATTCAAAGATCCAGTGAGTAATATTTAGGAGGTTCTATTGGGATAAATTCAATATAATACTCTTAGGTATGTTTAGTGCATAATAAGATGTGTGTATAATAAGTGTAAAAATAAGAATTGTGGTGCTTTCGTAACCTTAGAATAATATGTTTTAATCTACAGAGGGAGCGGGTCCATGTTTCTACAGTAGCCCAGAAGGGACAAACCAAACACTGGCTCTAGATGCCATTAACTCCCACACACTGGTGCTTAAATATGAATTGGAAAACTATATCAAACAGCTCATCAGACACCTGTTTCACATCCTGCTATTATTGTCTGTTTTTCATCCAAATACTCCCAATCTTCAAAAATATATTCTTAAAATCTCTTTAACAGAGAGTTAGACACAACTGGATAGTTGAGTACAGCAATTTTAAATAACTAACTGAATCTACCGATAATTACTTCACTACTACTTGCTTTGCTTCCACTGGATAACAATCTACCTGGTTGCTTGGTGATGGACACTGAACGAGCAGCAACGAGTTTGTTTGTCTTTTTTCATGCTGAGGATTAGGCATTAACTGGCACTGAGTGTCAAGAAAGAGAGCACACAGTGCCCTGTTTACAGTTATACCATTCTGCACTGAGCCTCATAGTATCCATGTTAATTATGTGTGCGAGCAGACTGATGGATTTATACACAAACACAAAGCACAAACAACAGGGCACTGGTTTATGGAAGCTGAGAACGGCCTTGCTTGCAATTATTTTTTTAATGCCGTTATCTCGAGATAATGAGTTAATTTGTGTCATTCTCTCAATAAAGCAAAAAGTTGGTTTTCTTGAGATAATGGGAAATGTATCACAAGAAAATGAGGGGGATAATTATGGAGAACTCAAAAATGAGTATCTGGATCATTTAATCACACTAAATTTCAGCAGGAGATCACTGTCAGGACCGTCACGTTTCCTAAATGAACTGAAGATAGTTGTCACCAGAATATACATCTGAGAGTTAATTTAGGATATTAATTTCTGGGCGATGTGACGCAAAACTGACAAAATATATAAGAAGAAGACTGAGATCAAAATAATGTAAGCAGAATTTTGAAGTTTAAAAAGGCATTAATGGTCTTTGGGTAGTGACCGAAAGAGTGAGATCGTGGATACAAGTGGACAAAATGGATTTCCAGCCTCACGCTTAGAGACAGGGTAAGGGAGCTCAGACATCCGGAGGGAGCAATGGAGCCAGTTCAGGTTGTTCGGGCATCTGATCAGGATGCCTCCTGTGTGCCTTTCTCTGTAGCTTTTCCGGGAAAGTCTGACTGGTAGAAAACTCTGGGGTAGACCCAGAACTCACTGGAGAGATTATATATCTCACCTTGCTTGGGAACACCTCAGGATCCCCCAGGAGGACCTGGAACACGCTGCCAGGGAGGGGGATGTCTGGAATACCTTGCGTAGCTGGCTGCCACCTCGACCAAGCCCCAGATAAGTGTCAGAAAATGGATGGATGGTTGCATCCAGTCTGCCCAACTTTGCAGTTTCAAGAATTACAGACAGATGTACCATTCAAAAACTCACTCAGTTAATACAGTACCACTGCTTACCACAAACAGGTTTATGAGTCTGCAAACAGCCAGCCCTTCATCAGCAAACACTATCAGCTTTGCCAAATACGAGTCCTTACTCACCAGTCAATCATTTGTCTGAGGATCCCTAAAGAAGAGGAGGCAGGTTTGCCTGGCGCACTCTGCTGCTGATCACATTGCTAGCATCAGCAGCCTCTTCACACACTTCAAA